AGTGGGTTCGGGGCGTTATCGATCTAGATTCTGACTTTGTCTGGTTGTACTGAACTCAACGTAGTAACTAGGGTTTGTAATACTCAGTTTTGCTAGTAATCCGTGGATAATCAACCTGACTTGTCGCTTAGTGACTAGTGTTTCCATTACTCTGTTGTTATTCTAGTAATCCGTGGATAATCAACCTGACTTGTCGCTTAGTGACTAGTGTTTCCATTACTCTGTTGTTATTCTAGTAATCCGTGGATAATCAACCTGACTAGGCGCTTAGTGACTAGTGTTTCCATTACTCTGTTGTTATTCTAGTAATCCGTGGATAATCAACCTGACTTGTCGCTTAGTGACTAGTGTTTCCATTACTCTGTTGTTATTCTAGTAATCCGTGGATAATCAACCTGACTTGTCGCTTAGTGACTAGTGTTTCCATTACTCTGTTGTTATTCTAGTAATCCGTGGATAATCAACCTGACTTGTCGCTTAGTGACTAGTGTTTCCATTACTCTGTTGTTATTCTAGTAATCCGTGGATAATCAACCTGACTTGTCGCTTAGTGACTAGTGTTTCCATTACTCTGTTGTTATTCTAGTAATCCGTGGATAATCAACCTGACTTGTCGCTTAGTGACTAGTGTTTCCATTACTCTGTTGTTATTCTAGTAATCCGTGGATAACCAACCTGACTTGTCGCTTAGTGACTAGTGTTTCCATTACTCTGTTGTTATTCTAGTAATCCGTGGATTACCAACCTGACTTGTCCTTAGTGACTAGTGTTTCCATTACTCTGTTGTTATTCTAGTAATCCGTGGATAACCAACCTGACTAGGCGCTTAGTGACTAGTGTTTCCATTACTCTGTTGTTATTCTAGTAATCCGTGGATTACCAACCTGACTTGTCGCTTAGTGACTAGTGTTTCCATTACTCTGTTGTTATTCTAGTAATCCGTGGATAACCAACCTGACTAGGCGCTTAGTGACTAGTGTTTCAATTACTCTGTTGTTATTCTAGTAATCCGTGGATAACCAACCTGACTAGGCGCTTAGTGACTAGTGTTTCCATTACTCTGTTGTTATTCTAGTAATCCGTGGATTACCAACCTGACTTGTCGCTTAGTGACTAATGTTTCCATAACTCTGTTGTTATTCTAGTAATCCGTGGATAACCAACCTGACTAGGCGCTTAGTGACTAGTGTTTCCATTACTCTGTTGTTATTCTAGTAACCGTGGATTACCAACCTGACTTGTCGCTTAGTAACTAATGTTTCCATTACTCTGTTGTTATTCTAGTAATCCGTGGAAAACCAACCTGACTAGGCGCTTAGTGACTAATGTTTCGATTACTCTGTTGTTATTCTAGTAATCCGTGGATAACCAACCTGACTAGGCGCTTAGTGACTAATGTTTCCATTACTCTGTTGTTATTCTAGTAATCCGTGGATAACCAACCTGACAAGGCGCTTAGTGACTAATGTTTCCATTACTCTGTTGTTATTCTAGTAATCCGTGGAAAACCAACCTTCCCGTGATTAACTAAGTATTTGGGAACTTTAGTATTTTCTTGTTTAGTCAAAGTGACAGAAACTTTAGTCGATTAAGACTAGTTGATATTCAGACGTAATCGTCTAGTTTTGTAGTCTAAGTGACTCATTTTAGGGATAAGCTCTCGTCGTTTATTTTCCCTTTGTTTTCTGAGCCCAGGTCATTCACTCAGTGGAGTGTGGAGTTAATTCATTCAGGTGTTAATTGGTCGCAACTGACATAATTGGCGGTCGACGCACCGGGTCTTCCTTTTCATAGCTGTAATACAGTTGTCTGTCTAAAACTAGGTTTCCGCTGATAGAAGTAATTTGTGACATGTGTGAGCGCAGTGTGGATTTATTTGTAACTGTCAACGATAAATACAATAAGTAGTTATTTAATAACGCTGTGAACCTATTAACACATTTTATTACTTTATTCTTATTTTTTGACACCCCTGATCATTGGAGCACAGCCCCGTGTCAATTGGTCTGCATGCTATCACGCTTCAGAAGAGCTTATTTTACACAAGACAAAGATTCGATATGAAAACTCTACTTTATATATTCCACATCAATAAAAAACTGAGAGATGTGCTCGTTTGATCAGATACGTATATATCCGGTATTGAAGAAATTAAGTAACTTATCATGTGTTTAAAAATATTCTATTCTTGAAAAACGGATTTTTCTTTCTGTGTACTTTCTTACTCAATATATTACATCCAAGGTTTCCTTCACAGAGGCGTGTTCCTGGCGGAGTGACAGCACCCGGTGTTTTCCCGGAACCTGCAGGAACGAGTGCGCCAGCAACTGTACGATGTGCTTGCTCCAGTAGCTTCACAGGGAACCACTGTCAGACAAGTTAGACCTTGCTGACACTCCATGGAATGACTAACGTGCTTCATACGATTTCATCTCTATCGTTTCGCTTGTGTCCTTGTTTATGTCAAAGAAATTGGAATTTAATATCAATGTAGCTTATTAGGTTTAGTGTCGATATAGATGCGGGAAGATGTTCCCATATTTGCACATGTACATTTACAGTAACAGCAAAGCCCATTATCAGCTTTAATATTCTAAGACTGGCCGCCAGCAACGGAGACGTGACAGAGGCACCTCCCAACATCAACAGTGGTCCATCTCAGTCCACCAGCTGGTCCAACATCAACTCCCCATCCAGCATATACTACAAGTTCACAGCCGAATATAGAACAGCTCCTCCTGCCAGACATGCCTTCGTTGAACGTTTCACAGTGGGCATTGTCGGTGCTTCTACAACATTCAAACTGAGAAGAGGTACGCTAGTATCATCATTCACATGTTATTCTCCTTAGCGTGTATTTTAAATGGTTTACTGATGGTATATCAGACTTATGCAGGTAAATGATCATAACCAATGTTTATGTTTTTGTTCTGATGCTGAGACGGGGGTGTCAACTGCACCAAAGTAGTAACCTGTGGAGGAGTCAGCAGAAGCAGCCCGGACACAGACCTGTACACCTGTGAAGGAACCTCACCAGGGGCGTCTGTACTACCTCTACCCTTCCAACACAGAGACGTGTGAGTTGGGGGAGAGGAATTCATTTAGAAATCGGTTTTGTACATAATGGCATACATTTTTTACTCTGAATCATCACAAGGTTTTTACATAAAATGTTGATGGAATTACGTTGGAATAATACGTAGAAGAGATGGCTAATCAAATAAAGATTTCGTGAAACAACATTTCTCATCATTCGTTTTTCTGTTTTTTTGGTGTGCTCACAATAATGCTAGAAGTATGCATGTAGGTGGTGTCTTCGCATGTACGTGTACATGGATTTGTGTTTTCATTTAAACCATCTCTCCTGCTCAATAATCAAATTTTGACTGACAGAGATTAACAACACTTGGTGTATAAGCTCGCAACTTTTGTGCTCTGTGGTGTTTACATGATCAGTGTGCATAGGTAGAGTATGTGTGTGTTGGGGTTATACAAGTTATATGAACCATTCACAATGCAATCAGTCAATCACATATGAGAGAGTGTATTTGTTTACTGATTTGATTGTGACTGACAAGTGAGTGATAGTTTAGTTGTTCACCTTCTGTGAAAATACGTATACATATATCACTGTCAACAATCAACCTGGAAATATAGACAACGAAAATGATAATATATCCTGATCTGTTGACCATGAAATACAATATACATGCAAGGAATATCAACGTACATCAAATTAACCACATTATTACTAACTGGGCCTCTGGTGTGCACCATCCAATGATATATTACAAGTCGCATACACTACAGAAAATGGGGATGAACTTATACAAATATATTATACTATTGACAAAGATAATGAAAACATGTACATGTCGCCAAGTGATTATTTTTGGTGAATAACGCGACCCCACATGTTTTGCAATTGCACATGGCAATGTGCTCTGTCAAGGGAGTCTCAGTATAATAAACAGGAATATTAAACAGCAAAGTTGCTTTCCACCTGCATTGGTGTTTCTGATGCTTGTGTTGACTTGTCACTTACAAATCGCATTCAAAGTTGTTTTTCTGATTAAATCGAAGCATGTACAGAGAGCTACTACTGTCAGACATTAATGACAGTATAACAATTTCCTTTTGATTTGCGATGTATTCGTGAAACTTGACTCAAGAAGGTCCCCGAAAATATTGTTTTTAGAACGATATCCTTTTGGAAATATTCTGTAGCATTTGCTATAGGAAAATACGTTCATTATACTTCTGAAGTTTTTCTTCTGAATACCATACTATGACGGCTCGAAATGTTTGATGGGATGACATGTTTATGGTTTTTTTTTAGGGTCGAGGATCGATTTTCTCATGAATATGTAATTAAAAAACAGTACAAACATGGAAATATATAATCGAAATGCATGTGAACTAGCGGGCATTTGAAGAAAATGGAAACCTGAAATCAGGTTACATGTACTTCGATTTCTGAATCGCTGGAGTCAGATCCCAACTCACTGGAATGGCGTTACTGGTATCCCCTTTATATACCAAGGACATGGTCTCAGACATTATTCTGGCAAAAGCTGCATCGATGAACTTCTTCCCATCTGAGGGTTTGAAAAATGTGTTGTGACTGGCAACAGACCCTTTACAATTAGCTCAGATCAGCTCGATCAGGTTCAGTTCGCCTTGGGTATGAAGAACGACGTGACCACAGTGAGACGCCAGACTATGAGACAAACTTGTTCTCTATGGGAAAAACGTTCCTATCGTGTATTTTTGTGTTACAGATCGTTATCTAAATGTGTTATAAGCATCCACCCCGCCCCTTACACACATACACACAGACACACAATGCAACTAAAAGCCCGAGGGAATTTAACAATGAGCGATAACAACACAAAAGGGCGGTCCTTCAGACTGGTCACATTCACCTTGCATTTGCTAACACTCGTTTTCCTATCATATGCCAACACTTCCTGGTACAGCTCAACTCTATCGGTAGCCTCATTCGTAGTGAGGCCTGTTTTATACCCAGGGTAGTTTCCCTGAATTGGAACACTGCATTCGTTGAGGCGCAGTAAAGTGGTGGGATATTTCGTCCAGTCCGAGATATTATTTGGATGCATATCAAAAACAAGAACAAGTAGGTTACAGTCGGAAACGTAAGTATATATGCATTCATATATATCCTTCTATATCTATGAATATATGTCAGCACTCTACAGATGTACGTGTCTGTTATCCATGATTAATAATCTTTATAAATATTTATCTTTGGATCGGAACAAGTTATGAATTGTATGAAGGTGTCTTCATATAATAACGCTGAAGTGACAATGAAAAGATACTGGCGGGAGTGTTACACTCTTTGAACGGTTTGAAAAGAGTGGGAAGAAGGGCCGTAACTAACTTTTGAAAACTCTAAGAAGTTAACTTGGCAGACGATATCCCAGAAAGGCTGTACTTGCACCTTTACAGCATTTTTTTTAATTACTGACAATCATGACCTTCGTGTCCAGCATCCGGCGGCGGCGTCTGTTAACATCTCAGAAAACCATAGGACGAATATTATATTACTGAAGCTGAAATATCACATGCCCCCCACCCCAACAAATACTATCTTTTAACGTTTTTGTTATTTATCTGAGCACGAACTCTTCCATGCCCTTGGCTCTAATAGGAACATCCAATGCCTCAAAATATTCCCAGGTCCTGAGAGAGATAACTTTCATATCATATCCTTCAGATATTCAACACCTAGTGGCTTGAAAAAGTAAAACGCGGCGGCGCTCAAGTTTTGACAATATTTCAAGTTTTACCACTGAATTCCTTCTGTTCAATAAACAGTTTCGTGGTTGTGTGAGGAGGCAGTATGTATTTGTTTACTGCCATATGCAAGAGGATATGAATGCACTAACACGTTCTTGTTATCCTTCAGTGAACGTCAGCAGACAAGAGGTGTGATGTCTGTACAATGCCTTATAATGTTCTGGCTCTGTACATGTGCCGTGTGGGAGCTAAGCATAGGGTTGGTAGAAAATGGGTAAGTATACACTTATTTTTCATCCCTAAAACAATTTATTTTTGGCATATGCTGTACCTGCATCTGAACCACCATTTCAAATGATATATAATTAATAGATATATACTGATGTTTTTTTAATTTGCCATGTACTTATTTTATTCAGTCATTATTGTATTCTGATGAGCAAAGGCATCTTATTTAGCCATATGTTAGTTATTATAGTATACAAGATAGGGGGATATACTGCATGGTGGCGGATCGAGTGAAGCCGTATCGATAATGCTCTCTGTGAAAATAGAGATACATGGCCTAGTACCAGTACCAACTATATACATACTGATCATCTCCTGAAGACTCGGTTGAGTGTATTTGCAACTGATTAGTGAAGGAAAAGTGAATTTCGCTTGTTATCGAGGATTGATAGTATCAACAACAACAGCACGACTATCACACTGTTCAGCATACTGTACAAAGAGTTACACATATTGAAACTGCTCTGAATAAATCTTCACACAAGATACATAAGAATACGTCAACAGGAGAAGATAACACTTACACTATAGACATACTGGGGCCTATACGCGATGACTGTTATGGGGAAATAGACTATTTATCTGGTTGACTCCATGAAGTATGTGATCAGAACTATGAACTCAAAACACAGCTGTTTGACTTACAAAATAATCTGCTTTTCACTGGTTTGTGTGAATCAGAGGATGGGAATGCGGATTTAAAAGTGAAACAGCTGATTTAGAGCAATCTAGAGATAGAGAATGATATACATTGTGAAGAAACTGAGATTAAGAAAGAAGAGAAGTGACCAGCCTGAAGTTAGACCTCCTCTAGTTGTGTTTTCATCAAAGAAAGACATAGATGTAGTGAAAAGACAATGATATAAACTGAACGGCTCTCCTGTGGGCATACATTTCCATATGAAATTCATCAACAGAGAGAATAGCTTTGGGCACAGATTTTACAAGCTAAAAGCAAGGGATATTAAACAGCATTTATCAGGGACAGGCTACACGGCGATGGAAAGAGATTCTATCTAGACTCCTCACCTGGTAGAGACCAGCCGGGACTTTCCTCCCCTCTCCACTGGTAGAGATCCTCCCTCAACACTCACTCCTACACACAGCAGACCACAGAAAAAGGCCAGGCACAGCCCTCACAACATCCGTACTACTGAAGATATACCGGAGAAATTAGATTTACCAGCTGCAGCCTTGTCACCACGTTGTCTAGACTGTAGAAGATATTCATCAGATACTGGAAAAATATACAACCATGGTGATAAATTAATAGATTTGTGTAGAAATAATTATCGTTTTGTTATAAATGGTCGCTTTGTTGATAATAAATATATTGACTGGACTTTGAGCTCAATGAAAGTACTCAAAACAGTAATACATTTGAGTACATGTATACTAGATGCTCACCCTGTACTCTCAAATGCCCATTGTGTTCTTAAATTGACTGTCAACAGCTGCGATACAAGTATTATCAACTCTCAATCAGGATCTGAAATTGACACCAGTACGAACTACACGTGCTCTCACCGCCGCTTGGACAAACGTCGTGAACGTCAGTTTCACAGTGCTATTGACTCTCATCATAATGTAATAGACGATATTGCGTCTGACTTCGAGACTTCAATCGGAGACTATCATACACTTACAAATATCGTTGATGATATTAATAATGTATTTATTGAAAGTGTTGAGGCAGTATTTGGCTTTTACAAAAACACTACAAAGAAATATAAACATGTTACTCAACGCCCCAAACTCCTTGTTTGGTCGTGATTGTAAGATCCGCCGAGGAAAATATCAGCAAGCTATTACTATTTTCCAGAGGAATGAAACAACAGAAAATCCTTGCAAAAAAAAACTGTGAAAAAAACTTTGATAAAAAGTCATGATTTTAACTGAAATACTTTAAAAAACAAATTATCTAAATTCGGGATTGATGATATTGTTTAGAAAAAGATACAAAAAATTTGGACCTTCCGTCACCTGAACAAATATTTTCACACTTCAAATCCTTAAATAATGATACGCTTATTGAAGAACCTGATGATCTCTCTGATCAGCTAGATATAGACACTGACGATTGTAATGATATTTTAAACAGTGTAATTACACGTGAAAAAATATTGATAGCTGTTTGTAATCTAAAAATACAGTAAGGCTTGCGGTCCTGATCTTATAAATAATGAAAAAATCAAAACCACCAGAGACACTGTCTTACCTTTATATGTAAAGTTATTTAACACAACTTAAGATGATGGTATGTACCAATAGCAGTGGCTTAATGGCATTATCCGTCTAGGGTAAAGGGGATAAACACAATCCAGAAAATGTTAGACCAATAAGTTTGAATAGCTGTTTTGAAAAGTTATTTTCCAGCATTCTTGGTAACACAATTGGAAGTGAGTCAAACATATCCGGAAACCAATGTAACCACTTGACAGGAAAAAGCACAGATGCAAGCGTTATCTCGCCTAATGATAGCAATCTAAGCTAACGCCGACGAATGCAATCAAAATGCTACCAAGCGACAGTTCATCGAATGTTTACTCCCTTAAACAATCACTGCATCCAACAAAATCCTTCACATTAAGAACTATTTATATCAAAGCTGATAAGTTCATTCGTTGCATAGATTTTTTTAAATCATATTTTAATAGTGTATAAAACCTTCACGGTATTTTATTTACCTAGTGTTCAGAATGCAACATAATTATTCATATGATACGATTGCAATTTTAAGTCCTTTGTAAGATATCTGCGGTTTTCAGTTGACGACTGGGAAATAGGGTTTATTAGCTCTCTGTTCCAACTATCATTGTTTAACAAATACTACTCCCACTTTTTACTATTTTCTAAAAAACTGGTTCATGATCATATTAACCACATTAATCTTCCAACTCTTTTGAAACAGGTTTGACATGAAACCGCCTGGTGTTCTTACGTTCTTTGTTAACCTGCTTCCGAATTCCTACACATGACTTTACTCAACTAACTCTGTAGTTACCTGTGGGCATTTGTCATGTGACATTAGTAGACCTTACATATCTTTGATTACATGCTTCGCAATACGCATTAAATAAACACACCTATCTACCCACAGAGCTCTTGACAGAGAACTTTTCAGCTGCATATTACTCATTTATTACACTACGTGTCACTAAAGATGACATGTGGGCATGTAGACTCTGTATATCTAATATAAGACAATTGATATTCATAACATAATCTCAATCATTTATTTCACTCTACGAGTCACTAAAGATGACATTTAGACATGTAGACATTTAGACATGTAGGCACGTAGACTCTGTATATCTAAGACAATTGATATAATTTGTAAAAAAATCGCAATCATTTTTTACAATCTACGTGTCACTAAAGATGTCATGAACATCTACATGTAGACATTAAGACATGTACCAAGTTGCATTTATCTACAGTAAACACTTCTCGAATTTGTCGGTAAACAAAACAAATTCAGGCTACGACCTTGAAGGTGACCTTTACCCATGACAAGTCAAAGTGCACCATAATCATTTACCATGGAAATAAAGGAGATGTATATGATATGATATCCCTGAGATGCCCAAGCTCGCATGGTTTTGTATTGCGGCACCTGTCTAAAACTTTAGATGGAAAAAGCACTATTTATAATTTAACCAACTCTACCTTACATAAATCCTTCATTTGTCGAAACTGTTGTTTTCGAGTTATTCTAAACGGTCAGTAAACTCAAGTTATACAGATAATTAGATTGTTAACATAAACATTAATTTGGTCCATGCTTGAAGATTACAATTTCGTGAACTAAGTGAACGTGTTCTGAAAACAAGAACTTATATAATATCCTGCCATAAAGAGAACACTGACAAAAAATACATCGTTGAGAACATAAATACCATCTGTCGCCTGACCACTTCATTCACTGGATCAACGTCCCATAGGGGGAATTTACTTTATCTTGGAGCGCCAGACACAGGTCACGTGGTGGTTATCATGGTTGTACATGTCTGCCAAGAACAACTCATACGTGTTCTATTAGGGGAGCGGGCTGTCGGGTAGCCTAGTGGTTATAGCGTTCGCTCGTCACGCCGAAGACCCGGGTTCGATTCCCGACATGGGTACAATGTGTGAAGCCCATTTCTGGTGACCCCTGCCGTGATATTGCTGGAATATTGCTAAAAGCGGCGTAAAACCAAACTCTCTTACTCTATGAGGGGAGCGATTTCAAAGATATCGCTGGTCTTTGCAGGTGTTTCAGAAAAAATGAAATGTTTATTCATGCCGTTAAGTTCGTTTTTCATGCAGATGTTGTATACATGAACTCGAATTGCACATGGAAAGTACGAACGTTGTTCTTAGACGAATCGAACTATTTACTTGATTGCTCACGTATTAGTTGGAAATTCACAACAAAGAGAGTGAATGTATGTTTTTCCTTTCAGTAAAAATGTAGAAACGATTACAACTTACAGGTCATCGCGTTACACAGTGGAGTGTAGTTTTTGGAAGTGGGGTCGGTGCACAAAATACAGGTAAGCAACATCATTGCTAAGCTCTAATATTATATACAGTGGTTGTTTCCTGAATAACTAAATGACTTAGCTTTATCTTCCTAATATGACTGGTTCTCCTTGTTTAATGTTTGATAGCTCTTCTTGGCATAAAACATTAATCACAGCACACCTCTATGACACACGGACATCTTCAGACAGATTGATAGTGACTAAAACAGATTCTAAACCAATTACTTCGTCAGAATATTAATTAACACTCTTTACACTTACATACTAATTTTACACACTATTTGTACATCCGAACGTTTACAGTAAAATGCACATACATCTAAACATACACGTTTTTACTTCCAGAAAAAGCCAAGACAAGCGTTTTAAGTGCAGGACCGGGTACAGATCAACAGATGGCAGAGGTTGTCCCCATGGTGAGTGAATCATACTACTTGGACTAAGCTGCTCGACATAAATCTAATTACAATCACTTTTGATGACTTGCATAGGTTCGGCAACAGAGTTTGAACTGGTCGCGTGTTTTTTTAACGCAATGCCGATGGCCATGTGCACATGTTTGTGCGAGGTCTCACAAATGCAATATAGGCAAGTAACATGAATTCACTTCTTCTGATCCTAGCTAACTACATATTACTAAACATCCTACCTCATATTTGTGATGAACATACATCAACATGTTCAACAAACAATTTACTATTAACCTCCAATTGCATATTACAGCTATATGTGACAATCAGATCAACTCCGATGCTTGCAACATCAACTATAGGACATCGCACATCATCAACAGAAACGGCAGGACACAGTACAGGAGTGGAGGGACCTGTACTTCCCCTCGGATCTGTGACAACTGTAATGATGGTTTTTTCCCAAGTAATGAACGATGCAGAAGTAAGTATGTACAGGTTTACCCTATCCATTCATAAAGGATCTTCCGATCAGTTTAACTATCTGGCATATTTGAATAACCGTTTAAGAATTACATTGCCTAAAATGCAAAGTCATAGCATGTCTGCCTTACCATTGTCTAAACAGCACCACACATGTGATGAAAATGCTATTCCTGTCTCCAGTGTGCACGAAAATCAATAACTGCCCACTTGAGACATGCACCAGCAGCAGCAACCAGGTGTGTAGTCGCTGTGAGGGGGTCGTGTCAGAGCAGGCAGGACACAGGGCATATGTGGCATCTTCTGACAACAAAAAATGCATACGTAAGTTGCAGTCGACGAATAACGAGTAAACAATATGTACACTGTTATAAGAAACCAGTTTTTAGAAACAGAAACAATTTTAGGGGTTTACTGTTTAAATTTAGGATCTATTTGTTGATATAATGAAACGTGTCCAAAACCTGTTGATCTGCACAGCGCGAATTCTCATGAATCGATCATTTAAAATCAAACTGTATAACCTGTATATACTTTTATCTATGTGGTATTGTATCCTGTAATTATAATGTGCAGTGCCGACCTGTCAAAAAAACCGGCATCCTACCCAATTAACGTAAGTGACTTACTAAAAATGGTTTTATGCCGCTCGATATCAGGCAAATGTGGCTTCCGGTGACCCGAAGTCTTGATTCAGGGAGTACATGCTATGCCGTGGCTTCAATGCATCACAGGAAGCACATTTACGAGGCTGTTTGTAAAACATGCTAAAGTCAGTCATAAATCCTACATGTTTATGTACAGAGGCATGTTCCTGGCGGAGTGACAGCACCTGGTGTTATCCCGGGACCTGCAGGAATGAGTACGCCAGCAACTGTGCCTGCTCCAGTGGATTCACAGGGAAACATTGTCAGACAAGTAAGACCTTGCTGACACTCCTTGGAATGACTAATGTGCTTCATATGATTTCATCTCTATCGTTTCTCTAGTGGCCTTGTAAATACCAAAGAAATTGGAGGTTGGTAGCAATATAGCTTATTACATTAGTGTCGTTGTAGATGAGGGAAGATGTTCCCATATTTGCACATGTATATTTACAGTAACAACAAAGCCCATGATCAACTTTAACATTCTAAGACTGACCGCTAGCAACGGAGACGTGACAGAGGCACCTCCCAACATCAATAGTGGTCCATCTCAGTCCACCAGCTGGTCCAACATCAACTCCCCATCCAGCATGTACTACAAGTTCACAGCCTCGTACAGAACATTTCCTCCTGCCAGACATGGCTTCATTGAAAGTTTCACAGTGGGCATTGTCGGTGCTTCTACAACATTCAAACTAAAGAGAGGTTTGTCGGAGATCACAAAACATAGGATCATTTCTCTCGAATATACATTTCAGAGTGAAAACATCTGTTCGTAGATTAACTACTACTTGTCCAACAATAGAGACGATGCAATGGAAAATATGTAACGGCTTATGAATTTTAACAGTTATGAAAATCAGGATAGCAATCTGTAAGAAACATATTGCTTATTGGACGTCTTTACCGATGAATAAAGTGACGTCACTGACCACTGTTTCAGCTGCCCCCTCACTTCGTCCAGCTCTCACCGTCCTCCCACTTTCCCCTCCCCGATATATTTTTTGGGTTTATCTCCTGCTCTGGGGAGTCCCAGCGCACACGTTTCTGACTTGTATTGTTGTCTCATCTGACTCATCTGTTGGTGTACCTAGGTGGAGGTGTCGTCTCCACTAAAGTAGTAACCTGTGGAGGAGTCAGCAGAAGCAGCCCGGACACAGACCTGTACACCTGTGAAGGAACCTCACCAGGGGCGTCTTTACTACCTCTACCCTTCCAACACAGAGACGTGTGAGTTGGGGGAAAGGAATTCATTTAGAAATCGGTTATGTACATAACGGTATACATTTTTTACCGTGAATCATCACAAGGTTTTTACATGAAATGTTGAAGGAATGACGTTGGTATAATATTCAGAAGAGATGACTAATCAAATAAAGATTTCGTGTAACAACTATCTTATCATTTCGATTTTTGAATATTATCAATAATAATAACTGCAACTTGATGTTTACAGAAATGTTTACTGCCTGTAGCCTTTCAACACAGGGCCCTGCGAGTTGGGGAGATGCAACTAAACGTTTGTACATAGCGGGAAACTGTTTAGAGTTTGACACATTACAGGATGCCACCCACTGTGTTGGTAAACGAACCAACTTCTGTGCGGTGTCAGGCAACATACAAACCCTTGCCTTTCTGGTAGAGGACATGCTTACCCTTTGGGCGAACACCTGGTGTCCTCACTGATTTTACGTCCAACCGAATCTGTTTCATCCGATAATCGCGACTGGTTATTCTATGGCGTTGACGTTTTATTTTTAAGATTAAAATAAATGTTTATAGAATGACGTAATCACACTCAAACTGCATGGTTAATACAATTTAAAAATAACATTGTGATGGTATCGTTTTTTTCTTATGTTTTGGAAGCCCTAATACATTGCACTTGTTATGTCTTCCGTGACAACAATATTGCTAAATGTACGGTTGCTTTAACGTGTGTGTTTGTAGATGGTATAACTGCAGCTTTTAATATAATAAAAGTTAAGAATACAAAATGTATGCATAAATAACAGGTAAATGTTTTGTCGTTGAATCACAAGAAAAGGTTAACCATGCTACATAAGTAATGCACAAGGGACTTTCTCGAAGGGACTTCCCCTGAAAGAGTACTTTGAAATTTATCAGTTTGAGTTTGTAAATTATTATATATCCATATAGACACATGCTGTGAAGGTGTTGGTGCTTTTTGAGTGGCTACTGTTGTTGACATTACCAGTCGCGGAAGTAATTATAAGTGTTGTATATGCTTACATGGGTTACATTGCTGACACTATTTGTTCACTGAATATTTCAGGTATTGAATATTTCATCATTATTGTTATCACATTTTCCACACCATGTTCACTAATTACTAATATCATTAACATAAGCATCATAATGTATATTTTCTATGTTGAGGGTTCAGCAATGAAGAGACCCCAGTTACTTATCCTTGTTTCAGGAGTCGACAATAAATGGGTGCTGTGTCAAGGTTCTGCGATTTGGCTGGTCGCATGTCATCGATTATACCAATGTCGTGGTATCTATGCTCACTGGTTTGTCTGATTGAGACTCGATTGTTTACTGGCGGCCGTGATAGTACTTGACTATTGCAGATTGAGATGACTACAACATTCATCCATATAATTATTTCAATCCGTTTTATTATAATAACTGAGATTTTGTTTTTCAGTATCGAATTCTCTTACGCAACAAGTAATGGCGGGTATGTTAAAGTCCGGAACAAGGAGACTAAGACCCTGGCCACCCACAACTACAGCGGTGCTACACAGACCCACACCTTTACTATGACCATTGACCTCGTGGAACCCTATCACTGTACTGGTTCTACTGCCTGTGTTGGCAGCATGTTGACTGCTCCCAATGTTATAAAGACTGTAAGTACATGTGTATAAGGGACAAGGTTTCCTCAGCATGTAGATGTGTTTACATCTTACAAAAGTGTAATTCCGCGAATTGTTTCAGCCAACTGTGAACCTCCGCTGGAGTGGCTGGGTAGATGCTGATGCAGGTGTTGACCACTTTGTGAGGGAGGTGTATGAACTCCACGCTGTTGGGAATGTACTCAGAGATAAACGTCGGGTTGACACAACTACTTTGACCAGCTCATCGGTGAGGGCTCATCTACCTGATGCAATTATTTAAAGCAGCAACAGATCTGCAGAATTAACATAAATCTCTATAATGATAGCGATACAAATGCAAAGAAGATTCAAAAGATCAGCTGTCGTTGTGGTATGGTGCTTACATGTGATGTGATAAATGCATTTATGAGTAAGTGTTTTGTTTTCGAAGCACAGTGTAGACTTAATGAACCCTACATTTCAGACGGCCAACAGCTACACACTAACGACGGCGGGCGTGTACTCAGTTGTCCTATCTGCCTATGACAAGGCAGGTAATCACAGAAGTGCCAGACGGATCCTGATATATGATGGTACGTCGACTGTAACAACTCAAGCCAATAAACAACTCCGTGTGACAACAGCATCTTCAGCAACGTCAGAGTGGCAAACGACGTCATCAGCAGTGACAGTGGACTGGACCAACAGATACATCAACACAGTACATCACAGCAACAAGTGGCTCCATGGGGTGGCTTCCAGTGGTGGTGTCGGCTCGGACTATGATGACAACGAGGGTGACAGAAGTGTGGCTGTCATCAACAATATTCAGGGTAAGTTCATATTACAAGCAAGAACAGATGGGTTCTATTGAAATGTTTCCAACACAGCTATGGTACCCTATATTTGTCCCTAGAGGTTTATCATACGCATTATGTCATTATTATACTGTCAGCCATGAATTTATGCTGATTCTGTCAGTTTACATTTAATGGTAAAATAAATTACATTTTTAACAGGTGTAACACGGTTCTTGTCGTCATACAAAGTTGACCATAAAGGAGGATGGTCCATCACCAGTCCCCCAGTTAATAACGAGTTCGTCAGTCAAGGTCTGAGTCAGTCACAAACTATAACACCCTCACTTGCCGATGGTGACACTGTGCGCTTCTGGATTCGAGCCTATGACATCAAGTCGGACTTGAAAGAAGAGTATGTGACAGTCCATATCGACACATCACCACCAGTCATAGAGAACCTGTGGCTCACCAGAGGCGACAGACTCAACATCAGTGTCCACAGAGTAGAGGAATTCACCGAAATGACGCATGTTTCTTTTCTTATTATTACAGCGTTCGCTATTTAATGTCGTCTTATTTTTTACATATAAAAGTATCGGGGACACAAGTCCCCTCCCACATTAATCTGGCATGTCATGGTATTAATAAATTAATATTTAACATGGTAAACATGCTTCCAACTCACTCGTGCACTGCACAGTTATATCAGAACAATCATGAAGTGTTTTCATGGTAAGGGTTCATACAATTACAGAATTGAGTGGGTTGCATACGATGAGCACAGCGGCCTGGAGGCGGTGTCATGGCGGATTGTAGATAAATACCGGGGTCGAGACATCGTGCATGGAGTGCAGCACATAAGGGCGCAAGGGGAAACAAGCGTAAGGCAATTTTTGTCTACCTAGCTGTGTCGCCCGAGTACTGCATATAGTTGTTAACTCATATTCAACATTGCAGGCTAACTTGAATTTTAAAACATACACATCTATACGTTTCAAAATGATAATTACAAACGCATTATTAATATCTTTATTTTATCAATCAGTCAGTTTCTGACTGCAAGAACATCTACGCTGGTGCCGCCAGGGGAGCTAACTGTTACTGCACGCCAGCCAAAGGCTGCTACCATCGTCACTTCCAAGTGAAGCCCACCATAGTAGTCAGCAGTCTCTCACATGGAGGAATATTTAGTGACAAGAGCAAGGGCTCTCATGGCTCCGACTACCACCTTGAAGTCACTGTGTCAAACCACGCCAAACTTACAACAAAGATGGAGTTTAAAGTAGGTGGAAGGTTTGGATGACTCATACGTATCAGTTATGTATATTACATTCATTCACTAAGGGTGACATCCCAAAGATGGATACTACTTTGCTGAAACCAAACTGGAGGTGGCATTGCCACGAAACTGAGTTTCATACTATGAGTGAATGAGTGAGTGGGGTTTAACGCCGGTTTAACAGTATTCCAGTTATATCACGGCATGTCAGCTTAATGTGGGAGGAAAGCCCGAAATGATGCAGGTCTCAGACGTCTACGATTTCGGTGAAACCCACGAGCACGGGTATGGTGCTGAAAAACCCAGAAACATAATCGGGGCGAACCGGGATTCGAACCCACAATCAAAGGTTTCTGGCGTGCCCAAGGGACGCAACTCTGCACAGCGAATTGCGGCGCCTTAGACGACTGGGCCACCCGTTCCCACTTCATACTATGAGCATAAACCATTCATTTTGAAACGCTTTGTATGTTCATTTCCGATATTAATCTTTTATTCAAGTAATTTGCACACAAAATGTGTTGAGCTTTTGACTGCATCTTTGTGAAAGAATAAGTTCGCAACGACCAATCAAGGTGGGGAAAACTAGTACAAAGTAAATAATCGACTCAAACCGAGACTGACAATCAACAGCATTCTGCTGTTATCTATGGACGTATTTCACTATAGACCAATCTTCATATATCACATTTAATTGATAAATTCAGCAATGATGCCTGATATCTAAACGTAATAGGTTAAAAGACAAAATTTTGGAAACCTCGCCCATTTACCTATCAGAAGGAAATCGTCCGGTCATTGACTTGATTTCGTTGGTGAGACGTTCGTACAGTTTGTCCCTTACTCAAAAACGGTTCAAACTCTGATGAACTAACACAAAGACAAAGTCAGTTATTACGAGGGGCGTTCAGTTACTTTATTTTTCAATATAATCTCCATTTGTCTCAATACACTTATTTGATTTGTCCTTCAAGCGTTTACAACCACTTTTATAGAAATCCGCAATGTTGCCCTCCAACCACGCCTCTGTGGCAGCCTTTATGTCCTCGTCGTCTTGGAAGCGTCTTCTACGTACGGCAGATTACATTTGCCGGAACAGGAAATAGTCACTGGGGGCTAAGTCTGGTCTGTAGGTTGGGTGATTTAACTGTACAGCCCAGACTTACAGCCCGTCACGATATGACTGAAATACTGCCGATGTGATGTTTAATATTCACTCACTCACTCACTCACTCACTCACTCACTCACTCACTCACAGTGAATAGGAAAGTTGCATTCCAACTATGTGTTCCCGACTGTTTTCGTGCTGGCAAATTTGTTGATATGATTTATGGACATGACACTGTTTTCAAAAAGATTAATAAAATTCGGCATACATATAGCTGTTCTATAGTATATTTTGAAAGTATGTGATTTGCCCTTAGACCATGCACATAAGTTCTCTCTAAATGCATTCTTGGCTATGTAAACAATATTCCTTTGCAAATCATGATAAGCTGATGAAACAGAACTTTAACGATATTTTTAGATCACACTAAACGTGAGCCCCCCTCATGCTGGCATTGTCCACGATGGTCAGTCTGGGCACCCGGAAATGGATTACCAGGACAGCCTACAGCTCAATGCCCACTGGGACGGATTCTTTGACAACGAGAGCGCAATCGCCTTTTATCAGTACACCTTCGGTCCCAGATGTTTACAGGGAGACGCGTTTGACCTAAATAAAACCAAAAACGTCAGTACTTCATTGTTTGATTGTAACAATGGTAGCTGTATAGATAACGTTGATTTCTCAGTAATTTCGGAAAATCTGTTTTCAGTATACATATCCTCCAGTACAGTGCATTTTATAATCTTAACATACAGTTTTGCATTCACGTGTCAGTTATGAGGACACAGAACAGGAATTACTATGATGTTATTCTTCTAACGGCAGATGGAATCAACACACTCTACCGAAGTCACATGGACAGCACCTTCTTGTGGAAAGTTTTATGTTACTGTTGTTGCCTATAATGGAGCTCAGCAGAGAAGCGATGCCGTTTGTTCTGATGGAGTTGAGACGTGTAAAGGTACATCAGACCTGTTGTCTCTGTGGCCGATTTCCTATTTCTTGTTGTAAAAACGTTCATTTCATTTTTCAACTGGTACAAATTTACACCAGATTTACAAAATATAGATACTTTGTCCTCAAATGTGTGAGAAAATACGTGTGTAAAGTAGCTGTCAATGTAGATATTTCTTGTTTGGAACTGTGAATCGTTTTTGAAAAGAGCCTAAACTTTATATGTAAGGTCAATGGTGAAATGGTTTCAATCAGACGTGAACCTTACAAAGCTATTATTCATAATATTGGTTGAGCTTTCATGGAAAATGTCGGCTTTCTTGAATCTATATATCGGTGGCAGACGTAAGCGTATCTCTGTGTTGCTCCCTATACAGGATTGTGATATGACCTTGTAACAATACAGGGCTACGGACTGTCCCGTAGTGTTTTCCTAATATATACATTCCCGACGCGAAACATCCCGCACTAACATCCATGCCATAATGCACGTTCTAACATATAAGTATTCCTATTTGAAGGCAAGGTCTCAGGAAGTGAATCATGTTGGATCTGTCGTCATATCCCAACGCATGCATTTCGCTAAATCATATTAAGTGCGATGCAGATTTGCAAGGGAATCTAAAAGGAAAACATTTGGTATAGTGTATAGTGTACAGCTCAGTGTAACGACATTCAATGTCAAAATCTAGTATAGGTAGCAGCATAGAGATACGGTTACCGCAGCTACCTTACTAGAGATTTTCCGCTCAATTAAGTGTACTCTTTACAATATTTTATTCATATAAGTGAGGTGATCGGAGGGAGAATAGGTTTGATGTATCGGTACATTCGAGATAAAGGACTGCGAGATAACGAGGCTCGAATGTACATAAATACAACCATGAATCAAAATATGTTGTAGCCAAGATCTTCCCTCTCACAAGGACAATGTATTTAAAACCCAATGGCAGTACAGTTTACGAATATTGGTACAACATGTGTATTTGCAGTGTTAATCTCATCCCACAATGGTAAAAATGTAGGCTTAAGATCAGCTGCAGCATAAAGACAGATATTCTTACCAACCACTGACACTATGTTATCCCGATCTTTTATCAGACAGGAAGTTCACTGGTAAAAAGGCATGGAAAAATAATTGTTGTGATTTTGAAAACATGAATTTGTAATTAGAATATCATGTCACAATGCACATGAAATACCACGTTAAGGAATTCTAACGTCAGTCATGTCCTTTCAGGTAATCCAGTGGTCGGAAACACCCTTGTACTGGTGGTGTCAGGGACTGTGTCCGCTGTGGTTGCAGTTGTTATGATCATCGTTGGAGTTGTTGTCTGGAAGAGGAAACAAAGGTCCTTCTGAACTGCATGTTATAAACCTTTGCCGGTCTATTTATCATATTTATCGTAATTGGGTAGCCTTACCGATGTGATGAACTAATTCCATAAAATCGGTATCACGATCAGATAAAAATGCAAATGACTTCACTTCGTGGGGTCTCTTTAAAGCCACATACATGTTTAATTGCTGAATAAATCCACTGACAACCGCTCCATTACGTTTGGATAGGGGTTTGGTGATTCAGTCGACAGGCGAGACTGCAAATCATTGGCCAATGTATTATTAAAGGGACCTTTTCCCTAATTTAAAACAGTTGTATTTGGCCGAAATATGTCAGAATTGTTACCATGTTTCATTTTGTCGCTGTTTGTTACATGTAACGCTGCTCTTCTTAACGTTATGACAGGGCAGGCACACAAAACAAACCTGACGTCTCATAGGCTAAGGTGAAAGTAACTTCCCTTTGATAAAGGGCAGTTACTCTTGCAGGCCAGCCGATGTATTGCCGCGAAAGCCAAGTGGAAACAATATCTGTAGGCAATTGTTATTTTGCGCATGTGTACGCACACCACTCTCTAAGAGATATGTTTCAGTTGGAACTATATTGACTTTTGTCACTTCCCGACTGACAAAACACTGACTTTCTGTCTTTTAATATATGTTTTTCGACGACAGAATTTTAGAATGACATTAAATGATAAAGAGGTTAAATAAAATGTTTATTCCTAATACAGGATATTCACCATCTCAAAACGCACTCGGGTCATAACCTCAATGATTGTGTGCCCCTATCGTAAAAATTATACAGTAGGGATAACACAATACTAATATCTTTCAAAGATTTTTTTTTATTGTGTGAAGGCATCTGCCGCATACACAAGTGCACGTTTCGGTTCACTTACAATGTAAGTTATGTTATGATAATACATGTATATAAGATAAGCTGACTGCTTTAACATGGTTAGTGATGAGCATGATATGAAAACAGTGCGATAATAATAGTGTCAAATTGGAGTTTACAGGTGATAGTAATGTTTTAAATTTGTACTTATTATAGTGACATTATAACAGAAAAGATCTGGAAGAATCACTTTCCAATAGGATAAAGAAAGACAAAGAGACATATTCATCTTAAATTTGTTGTATTACAAATTGGGCATAGTCGTAAAAGAATAGCAGTTGTCAACCATCTGTACCGTCGTTAATCTAAGAAGACCCGACCTGAATTTTATTGGTATATTCCGAAATCAGTGTCATATGTTAGACAATTCAGATACATTTCTAGCATGTACAAAATGCACACCGATTTGGCATACTGATTCAAACAAGTTCATACCATGTACAGGGATCTTTACACAGCAATGACGAGGAAAACAATATATCCCGGATGCTTTTCGCTTCATTTCTGAAATATAGTTTGACTGGCTCCAGTCTGGTGATGTATATACTGTAATATTTGTTTGAGTGATTCCTTTAATGTTCATATTGGTGTTTACTTATTACAGACGTCTACCGGAGAGCCCTGACCAAGCTGTGTACGACAACACAGAGCTACCGAAAAATGTTAAAGCTAAAAAGACAAAACCTCGGGCCAACAGAAATGAACCTGAATCCAAGACGTACGACACACTTGATGTCAACTCGCGCAACACAGGCCCTGGGGAAGGAGCATACTGTTCTATACAGTCTCGCGGGTCGGAAGAGAAAAGCATGTATGAACCCATTGAAAGTCCGATGTACATAAACAGGGTCGTGCCATCACGCGCGACATCCGACAGTACATCAAATGAGATATACGAAGAAATCTGAACACAGAATACACTACCACACAAACATCCCTCTCATGCATATTCTTTGTTAAGAGAACATATACTAACCTCTGTTTGTTGCCAAACATGCGTTGCCACTGTAGGGATTCCAGGGGTTAGAATAGTTTTCTGGCATCCTGTTATGGTACGACCGGGTGATCAGGCTTGTTCATTGTGTTACACTGTAACCCGAGGGCTTGGATCTCTGCTCATTATGTCAGTCACTGGATTGTCTGGGGCTGTCAAATACATGTACATGCACCTGGATACGGCTGATGTTTACAACAAACAAATAGAGATTAGTTTGATAAATGAATATTACAATGTTATGTCGAGTACCATTGCATATATGTAGTTGCCACGGATTTGTACAGACAAAAATCACAAGTAATTCACCAAAGATCCAGGCCTTCAGCTAAAGTAGTGCTCTGTATTCTTTAGTGTCTGCCGCCAGTCCTGAATTGCAGTATCGCTCAAAACATATAACAAGGGATTACCATACAGCCATTCGCCAGCTTGATTTAATATAATCATCATGGATCACGCCATGGAAAAAAGTGAGAAAAAAATTATTTTCATAACATATGTCCCCTCTATTTTGTTGATATTCGAAGAAGGGAAGCAACTCTCCCAACATGTTCGTTTGTTTCTGTTTTATAAGTTCTCCATTTGTGAGGCCAAGATTCAAATTGTGAAACATTTTTGCACACAATTTGGCATGCAATAGTATTCTAACAATAGGTGTTTTTTCTTCAGCCCACGCTAAAACTGTGCAACACTCACAATAATTGAGAATAAATCTCACAGCTTGCTGATTATTGTTGGTTTGACGATTTTTTTTCTTTTCTGAGATTGCATTATTCTCAGTGAAACAAATAGAATACATTACAGATGTACAGATACGTTTTCACATTAAACGTGCTTAACTAGTATTGATCAGAGAAATTTTAACACGTCCAATTTTAATTCTGGAAACCCATTTGTCCAGAAACTTTCCATGCTGTGGTCAAGTCTCTGTCAAAGGTATTTACAACATTGAACAAGGAAGATAAAATGTCGCATAAATAAACTAATGTAGGCGTTATTAAAATAATTCGCCCATGTTTTGGTCAGTCTCTTTAACGCATTAACTAGTTGTGTGCAAAGTATATTCTATCATGTGAAATATACTTTATATGATATAATTACATTACTATTTAAAATGGGCCTTTGGTTTGATGTTACCTTTATAGAAGTTTTACCTTTTGTACATATTGTAACGTTCTTTAATGACTCCGGATATTTATAGTTGATCATACGAATTTATTCCAGTGTATTCCAATTCATTGGCGTTATAATTATCGTTCACAGCATTAAAGTTGAGTTGGTTTCTTACTCATTTCCCATTTTATGTCTCGTTGTTACTTTTCTATTCCTTACATTGTTTATGATGACTTACAATAATGAGGCCACAAAGCGGAAGAACCCGGCCAGTCGCATCTTTGGTCTGGTGTATTGAAGTAAAGTGTTAACGGCCTACGCTTTTAAGTAGATTTTGCGTTCCATATACGTTCCATTAATCACACTGGGCAATTAGCTGACACTAAGTGTGCGATATACAGGTACACGTGCGCGTATTTTAATGAAAAAGACCGATTCGTCTTTCATTGCATAACGTCTGGCTGAATATCTCACATTCTAACGAAATCTCAAAATATTTTTTTTTTATATGAGGTGTCGAACTGACCAATGGGAATTATGTTTAAAGCCGATTGAGGAAAACTTGAGTGAATAAACTTTTTAATGTATTGCCACTTTTGGTATGAAAAAAAGTCAAGAAAAAAACCCAACAGCTTTCTTGTGATAATTCCCATATTCTCATTAGTACGTTTCATGATATCAATCACTGGATTGTCTGGTACAGACCGCCGTCATATAGCTAGAATATTGCTGAGTGTGGCTTAAAACAACAAAACAACCAACCAGTAGTACGTTGTATCTATTTACAGTGTCGGCCTTATTTACAGGTGAGTCTACAAAACCTGCTCTTACTGAAATGTAGTGACAACATGAAAATATTAAACTTCAAGCATTAAATCTAAACTAAACCCCTGTTTTTCGAAAGGCCACTGTATTTACTGGTATTAATATCAACGTTTAAATCACGTTTTTCAATTTTGTTTATTCATGATTCAGGTCGATCTCTCAGCAGTTCAGATATACCTGACCTCAAAGGTGACATTTGTCATGCAGATAATTACACAAAACAGCAAACTCTTTCAACGTTCACTGGTGATGTACAGTTAAGACAAACCTACATAAACAACATCTAACATATCTGATTTGTCAATGAAAATCAAACATCTAGGCATCGATGAACAAGATACTATATATATTTACAGAATGTTGAAGTTCCAAACTGCAAGATTCGGTGTTATATTTTTTTTGCTATGCTGTGAATTCCAAGATTTTAATTCCAAATCAAATTTTAATTAAAACTTCTTTTTCAACCAATTGTAAATTCAAATAATGGGCACAAATAGCTGTGGCGGGTTCCGCCTTCCCCACAAGGGACTTTTGGCCCTGGTATATTTGAAAGGCAACCTCCCATTTGTCAGACATCCCATTTGTCAGACAGCTTATAGTTACCTGTAGCAATAGTTACCTGTTTTATATTTACCTTTCATAAAAGTAGGACATACCAGAAAACCACATTTTGAGGAATTTACAGGATTGGTTTATTATGCACTTATAATCATCAAATCATACCAGAAATCATACTTTTTGAAGTATGCATTACATTTTTGCAATATTGCTATATAATAAACACAATACACCCTGATCACAGTTCAGTACAATGGCTGTTTTCAGCTCAGGTTCAGCAAATGTGCAACAACATCCAAGAATTCAAGAGGTGTCTTCTGCCCACTAACCAGCTTCTCTTTGAGACGCACCAGCCTTCTTCTCTGGCCCGTGTCCTCAAAGTAATGACAAACTTGACAGGAGTCTGATCTCTAGGTGGGTGGCAGTGGTCCGAGATATCTTTAAGGAAGTCTCCAACAGTGGAACATTTCCCACGGCAGGTCTTGATGATACATCTCCAGCGTGGTCAAGGAATACTTGTTGGGTTCCTCTCTGAGAATCTATGTACTCAACTCTGCGTATACCAGCCATGGTGGTGTTACCTTACTGTTGTTGTTACATAAAGTGTTTAAGAGGTTGCCTTCTGCCTAAGCAATTTCTGCTGACCTATCCCTCTTGGGGACTCCTGTGTGTGAGTAGAGTACACATATCTATTGTGAGTTTGGTATTCACAGAATTTCTGTTTTTGTATTGATATGATTTCAATTTTAATCTTTGGCTGCTCTGTTTATATACGTTCGAGTAGCTGTCGATCTCTCAGAAATAGAGTTAGTTTGGCCTTCGCTATTGCATCTCTTGGCTTTAGGAGATCTATGACAGATAGCGGTTCTAACTGCAATTCTTGTTTTAACCGAGCCTGGGCTGGGGCGTGGTCTTGACATTCCAGTAACACGTGAGCAATGGATTTAGCCTGATAGCAAGATGAACGAACCTTGTCATAGTGTTTTTTGTGACCGAGTCTGAGGCGTGAGATGGCACTTTCAATTTTCCTTTCATTTGAGTATGAGTTTAGTTTTTGCTGGATCTTGGGTTGAATTTTGTGTAGCCATCTGCCGATCTTACTTGTGTTCCATTGGGCTTGCCATGTTTCTGCTATAGAGGCTTTGATTTTGCTTTCTATCTCTAGTTTACTGAAGAGAATAGGCTGTATCTCCGCTTTGTCTAGAGCTAGCTTCGCCAGTGAGTCTGCTTTTTCATTTCCATGAATATCTATGTGAGAGGGGATCCAACACAGCTCCACCTGTTGCCCTTGGTCCGATAGTTTTGTATATTCGTATAGAATATTGTTGACTGTGTTTGGCCTGGAGTTTGAGTTTCTGCCACTGATGGCTTGAAGTGCACTTAGCGAGTCTCAGTAGGACGACTGCCTTGCTTCCGGAAGTTCTGGTATGAGTTTGAGTGCATGATGAATTGCCTCCAATTCAGCCGTGAATACTGACTGACCATCAGGCAGGCGAAACGAATGTGCTTGGGGTTTGGAGCTGTGGATATGGATCCTATAACCAACACTGTTGTTGATAGGATTCTTGGATCCATTAGTGTATGTATGGGCCCAGCTGTCCCAGGTAGTTTGAAGTTTAGTTATAGCTACTGATCGTAGAAGAGTTGGTGACTTCTGATGTTAAAGTGGGATTTTTCCGAGGTTTTGCTTCATCTCGAGTGTTTTTGTCTTGTCATATCTTTTTAATCAGGGGGTTTGATGTTCGTCCCCAAGTGAAGTGCCTGATGCTGCGACTGTGGCCAGCATTAGGGCTTTGTGTTGTATTCTGTCGAGGCGGCTCAAGACAATAGTTGATGCTGAGAGAAAGGCCTCACAACCATAGTCTATTTTTGATCTGATAAGTGATTTGTAGACTTCCAGCTGAGTGTTCCTCAATGTGCCACAAGATGTGCCTGAAATTGCCCGTAATACGTCTTTTTGACATCTGTATCCCACATTCTATATGTTTGCCCCAAGTGAGGTGTTGATCAAGGATCACCCAAAGATGTATTGCGGATTTTTCGAAATTGGTTGGTTTGTGTTTTAGGAGAGATGACATTATCAAAAAGATCATTGATCATGATATTTAATAGGGTTGGGCTAATAATGCTGCCTTGTGGCGTGCCATTGTCCAGTGACATAGGATCAGATTGATTGTTCCCTATTTTAACTGGTAGCGACCTGTCTTGCAGGAAGATGTCTATGAAGTTTGCCATGTTCCCTTCTACTCCATTTTGTGCTAGTTTTGTGAGGAGTCCGTCATGCCATACCATGTCGAAGGCGTTGCTGAAGTCCAGAAATACTGCGGCTGGGTATTGTCTGTGTAATTGAGCTTTTTTATTTCATTTTCCAGTCTTAGAATATGATCTTGACACGTGTGTCCCTTCCTGAAGCCGCTTTGGTCAGGTTTGATGTGGTTGCCAGTTTCAAGGTGATGCATGGGCCTTTTCATAAACATGGCTTCCATAGCTTTGCACATGTTTGAGGTGAGTGAGATCGGTCGATAAGAGTTTGGTAGGGCTTCATCTTTCCCTTGCTTTAGAAGCAGGATAACTGTATCATGTTTCCATGCTTTTGGGACTTCTCCTTTGGACCATATCGTGTTATACAACTCAGGTAGAAAGCTTTTTCAATATCTCGTAACTGGTTGTGTCAAGACCAGGTGCTGTGCCTTTTCTATGTTGTATTGCATCATCAAACTCTGTCACAGTAAATGGTATATTGTACACCAGATGCTTGCTTTGCGCCTGTTTTCATGTCTTAAGCAAAAGCAGTTCTTCCTGTTTGAATTGCAATTTGTGTTGCTGCTGACAGATGTGAAGTGCTCGGCTAGAATGTTGGCCTTTTCTTTGACTGTATGGGAGTTGGCTAACTTGGGAATTATTCTGGGTTTACCCCTGTTTGCGTTGCGTGTATTTTGCTCCAGACGTTTTTAGCATTTGTTTTCTTCATATTGAGATTTGCAGAAGCTCCGCTATGACTCTTTTTTAGAATCATCTATGAGCTGTCTTACTTTTGTCCTGGCTGCCCAGACTTGGGCGAAAGCTGATTTATCCCTTTTTTACCTTTTTAGGTCTTTCTTTCTCACTCTCCTAGCTGTTGCTATTTCCCAGTTCCACCATGGTACCGGAGTTTTGCATGTTTTGTGGTCTGTTTGGAATTGATTTTTCAGCTGTGGCAATAATTGCTGAGGTGAGGTATTGGCCAAAATGATCAGGATTATCCGAGGCAATTTCTGAGGATTTGAATGATATACATTCCTTCCTGAATTTAGGCCAATCAACCTTTGCATAGTCCCATGTAGGCTGAGGATTGGGCTGTTCCTCTAATTATGATGGGCTACCTATATAGGTGAATATAGGAAGGTGATCGCTTCCCCAAGTGTCATCATGGACTTGCCATTGACAATGTGTGGCAAGGTTGTTGGTGGCAGTTGTGAGGTCATTGAACTCCATGTGTTGTGGACTTGGGAATAACGTGTGTGACTGCCGTTGTTCAGAGTCGTCCTCAACCCATTTCTCTACCATTTTGCCGTATTTGCATGAATCATTCCTGTCTTCCCAAAGAGGGATGTGGGCATTAAAGTCACCAAGGATTATCCCATTTTTGCCTACTATTTAGCTAGTCTTGTTAGCTCTTCCATGTTCGTTACATGGGTAACCCTTTGGTATATGTTATCTATGCGTAATTCATTGTCATTTGCTAGTTTTAGGGAGATCACATGGGTTTCAAGGTTTCCTACGTTTGATTCGATATTTTTTTAGTTACAGCTGTCGTGGACAAGGC